TTTTTCCTTTCCTTTTTCCTTTCCTTTTTCCTTTCCTTTTTCCTTTCCTTTTTCCTTTCCTTTTTCCTTTCCTTTCCCCATCCCTTTTCTTTCCCTCCCCCTCCCTTTTCCTCCTTGCCCCCCTCCCCAACATCCGCTCTGATGGCAATTATGGCTAAAAAAAAATTCAGGTACTCAGGCATGAAAATGTGCCGCTCAAACACTTTTCCGCACACACTGAAAAAAAATTAGAGGGAACATTGGCCTGTGGTGGCCCGAGTGCTGGCAGAGGGTTGCAGGAGGCTATCACAGCCACCCAAGCTCCGTTTTGCTGGCAGAAACTGCGGGCCAATCCTTTGCTGTTTCCAAGATATCCCCACAGGCCAGATCGAAGCACTTCATGGGCCGGATTTGGCCCCCAAGCCTTGAGTTTGACAACCCTGCTCTGGGAGATGTGGGGTAGTAATAATGGTGACATGTAACCAGGTAAAATGCATTGCTTTCCCTAGCTTGACTTAACTTTTAGTCAAGTGGGCTGATAGATTCGATTCCATGTTCCTGCTTAAACTTTTCCCTCTGCATTTTTTAAACATATTTCATTTCTTGGTTTTCAATAGGTTGCAATCCAGCTGAATGATACACATCCTTCCATGGCTATTCCTGAGTTGATGCGCATCTTCTTGGATATAGAGAAGCTGCCCTGGTCCAAGGTTGGGATCACTTTTCTGTTGTCAGCTGTGCTTCTAGGGTTTGCAAGACCTTCACTCTGTTTTCCAGGCCCCTGATTCTGTAGTTTCTGTGCCATGGCTTCAAGTCTTCTTTTGCTTCCTATTTCCAGTTTTCAGACAAACAAAAGTTGGTTTACAAAATATGCTGAACCCTAAATCTAAAAAAATAAGGTGCTGTGCATGAAAGTTCACACTAGCTCCACCTATTGGGTGTTGTTGGCAAGGCATCGGTTGCTACCACATACAGTACTAGGTTGCATTTCCCTACTTTGCATATCTAGATATATTAGAACTACAGTTAAACAGGTGTCACAGAACATATCCACCACTCCATATTACTTGGGTTCTAGGGAAAAAGCAAAAAATGTTGGAAAGTCTCTTTGGCTGAGTTAAAATGTTATAGTGGTATGGTAAAGTTTCTGAGATGGGCTTAACTCCCAATGATTTAATGGACATGAATGCTAATTTTTTTGGAAGTCATTTGCCATTGGCACCTTATAGAATATGTTTATATTTGTATTCCTATTTATATAATTATTTTGGATTTGATTCCAAAAATGCTTCAGAGGGTGCAAGGGAATGAGCATAACCATGCCCCCAACGGGTCCCTTCTTAGGATCACATGGTTTCCCTCTGCATTTTCCAGGCATGATTGTTTAATGTGGCTGGGATTAACACTCTTAAATGGAGAAATACATGACTTTATGGCCGTGGCTGAGCAACCGTTTTCTACTAGATGTGATGTTCCATGAGGAGCAAGCAGCAAGCCAAACTCAATCAATCTGTTTGCATTCTCAAAGTATAAGAATTGAAACTCATCCAAAGGAATCTAGCCAAACAAGAGATTGAATATGTTTTAAAGTATTGTCATGATTAATTTGATTGATTTTGTCCTCCAAAGTGTATATAGCCTATATATCACAGTATCTACTGGGGACCGTATGTGATCTTGACCAAGGTCAGATCTCAAAATGCCCTGAACCATTTGAGGAACTCCATTGTATGACACTGAGAAAACACAATGGTGGAGGAGAAATACTACTTTTTGCCTCCTTCACCTCTACGAAGTAGGTGATGTCAGACTCCAAAAAACAAGAAAGATGCCAAACTAAAGCAAACTATTTGTATCACTAAATTATACTCTGAGTGCTCCTCGGGAGAAGCTGTCTTGATTCTCTTTCTCCCAGATAATCTAAACTTTGCTGTTTCTTATTCCTCTGGAATGTAGCCCCTCCCTCCTGTTCTAGTTAACTCCCAGCTTCCAGCATTACTCTCACCTGAAATGGGGAATGCCGTGGATGTACTGTTTGGGTGTTTTCATTGTGGTTGTTTTCAATAGTTTGGACTGTTTTATAGTTTCAGAATTGTAAGTCATCCAGAGTCACTTGGCTGAGATGAGCGGCTATAGAAATAGAATGAATAAATAAATAAGGCAATTGATAACGTTGACCATAGCCACCTTCATGATAAAATGGAATAATGTGGAATGGATGGTCTTGTTCCAATATAGATTTAGTTGATCGAACTATATGGATCTATATGTCTACATTCAAGGAAGTGTGTAGTAAGGTATTCCAAGATTCTGCCCTGGATTTAGTTATGTTCAACATTATCAATATGATTTAAACAAGAAGATAGAAGTGATGCTTATCACATTTGCAAAGAACAAAAAGCTGGGAGGGTGGGGCTGACACTCCAGAAAATAGGCTGTGGGTTGAGAAGAATCTTGATAACTAATAATATGCACAGTTCTCAATAGTAACAAATGTAATGTAAGATTTCTGCATTCTGGTAAGAAAACTATATCCTCAGATACAAAGTACATGGCTTAGGAGGAGGAGTTGGGAGAGGATGCACAAGAATGATCACACAAATTGTTTTTCTCAGTTTGCCTTATTGTCTTTCTCTTCAAAAACACAAGGCCTGGGATATCACTACAAAGACCTTTGCTTATACAAACCACACCGTTCTCCCTGAAGCTCTTGAACGTTGGCCAGTTGAGCTGGTGGAGAAGCTGCTTCCAAGACACTTGCAGATTATCTATGAAATCAATCAAAGACATTTGGATGTAAGTAGGGTTTCATTAAACCTTCTCTGATGGCTCTTAATTTTCTGGATGAATTTAAGAAAATATAAAGGAACGGTTTTGTGAAAACTGATCCGTTTCAAATTGGAAAAGCTGTTGAGCTTTTGATTCAGTCAAGAAGTCTCTGTTCAGGTAGCCATATTGAACTGGGAAAAAAAGTTATGCCAATTGTACAGCATTTGCTTTTAAAATGCGGTTAGTCCAAGCATGCTCTCTTGCTAAAATCCAGACTGAAATGGATAGTTGGGAATGCACTTGAATGGGATTAATTGATGTTGCTTTTCACCTTCACACATACTCAGAAAATCAGAGCCCTGTTTCCAACGGATGTTGACCGCCTCAGGCGGATGTCCTTGATTGAAGAGGAAGGGGTCAAGCGTATTAACATGGCCCACCTTTGCATTGTTGGCTCTCACGCTGTGAATGGAGTCGCAAAGATTCACTCCGATATCGTCAAATCTCAAGTGTGAGTAGTGGTGTGTATTTTGTTTGTGTATAGCAACCTGGGACAATTTCCTTTTACTTTTGCCAACAGAAAAGTTTTTGATTTGATTTAGACTTCTGAATGTTTCTACTTTGGGATCAATTTTGAGGTTTAGAGCTGAACTCTGGGTGCCCCTGAGTTTGTGTTAATATATAATTTTGTCTGTTGCTTCGATAATTTTCTGCCCTCCCAAACTTCGTGTTGCCATATGCATTCTTTGGTGACAGATTGCAGGACAATTTTTCCCAAAGTTACCTCATCTCTAGTGTTTTGACACCTTCATTTTCAAGCTTGCAGGGAGTGCCACAATTAAACGCCCGCATGAATAATTTTAATTTTAAGCATTTATGCTAAATATTATGATTCAGATGTGGGCCTCTTTTGTTCTTCTGTAATGAACAGGATATTCAACATATTTTACATAGTTACTGAATTAACCCATTTTCAGAGTAACTACAACATGCTGAATCGTATTCTATTCAAGGTTAAAAACTAAGACTCTGTGCAAGTACTTCCATTAAATCTGCCAGTTCTTTAAATCAGTGGTCTCCAACCTTGGCAACTTTAAGACTTGTGGACTTCAACTCCCAGAATTCCTCAGCCAGCTTTGTCCCCAGGTCTTAAAGTTGCCAAGGTTGGAGACCACTGATTTAAATGACCTAATCAAGCAGATCATGTGAATGTAAATCTTATGGGAGCAAATAAATCATCAATACAGTAATGGTTTGTGAAATAATTTTGTACTAGGTATAACATAAATACATTTTTAAAAACCTGATGCTATGCTTCCAGCCTTGCTGTCACCTTTCAATTTATTTATGCAAAAAATAAGTTTATAAATAAAAGTGCAGAGTAATTATGCAACTGGTATTAATTGAAAATTTAAA